GAGACAAAAATCTGTAAATATCCAAAATTGAAGAGTAGAGAGAAAATGGGTAAAATGTTCTTAAATCAATTTGACAAAAATTAAATCAACTCGAATAATAACGCATTGTGATTTAAAAAGATAAAAAGAAAAATGGTGGAAAAAAATTTTTGTTTCGACTTTCGAAGAAAAAGCAGAACAGTAAGCTTTTTTCATTCAGTCAATTTTCGACTTCTTAACTAATCATTTTATTGAAATTTCTGATACCGTCGTAGAGAATCCTGAGCTCAAAAAATAAACTAATTTACCTGTAATCTTTTTTCGTAAGTTTATGGGAAATTGAAATTTGCTAATTTGGTCAGTTTGAGATATAATGCGATCTTACAAGACGCGTGAGCGGCGAATTAATGCGTTCGAATTGAATTGATTCCAGCACTACAAAATCTTTCCAAATTGAATCGAGGCAGCTATTTCATTTATTAACTCATACACGACAAAAATTGCAATACTTAATTTTTTCATATTTTCAGCGTAAAAGTCATAGTTTTGCTAATTTTTCCGACTTTCGATACGAAAGTAACGGATTATTTGTGCTCAGGGTGGGTTTTTTTCTTCAGACAAATTTCGACTTTTTAACTAGCCATTACTGACGGAATTTTTTATATCATTTAAAAGGTATTGTTGTCCTGAGCTTAAATTTGAAAATAAATTTCACCTGTGATTTTTTTTTCGTAAAGTTATGGAGGTTTAAAGATTGCAATTTTGGCCAATTTGGGACAATTAACGCTCGATATATTTTCTTTTTCATTTTATTTTATTACATTTAATTTTTTTATGTTACTACTGCTTCATAAACCTTAAAAGGCAGTCGGAAAATCCAGGGCCCGATACGAGCAGTCTTGTATTTAATTTACCAAAAATTAACGAGACCAAATAAAAGGCAGTCAAAACAATCAAGGTTTTTTCCTTGCCACGAGCAGTCTTTAGTTTGAATGTTTGACTAAAATAAAATCGATATGAAAACTATTTGACTCCATGTTTTGTCTAAACCTTTTTTTTGTGCTTCTGTGTTTAAACTTAAATCATCAATATCAGTGCGACAAGTGTTACAATCAAACATCAGCTATAGAAAAACCTTACGTATCCAATAAATCTAAAAGTTTATTTAATAATTAGACAAAAATTAGTGAAAACACTTGACCATGTAGAGGCAACATCATCAATCGCTTTAAACCTTTTCCATTCTGGTTTCCACAGTAAAATATAGCTCCCATTACTACAGTTGCAATGCAGAGGAGCTAGAAAAAAGTTTTTTAGTTGTGCGTGAGCTGCGTTTACTCTGCTACCTGGTAAAAGAATGCATAATTATGCCTGCAAATTTTTAAACCTGATTGTGAAATTCAGACAAGACTGCTCGTATCAAGGCGAAGCCCTGAATGCTCCGACTGCCTTTTAAGGTTTATGAAGCAGTAGCAACATTAAAAAATTAAAAGTAATAAAATAAAATGAACATTTTTTTCCCTAAAATTTGAAATTTTTTATGAAAACCATCCCCCCACTCACCTTATTAAGTACAAAAGGATAGATTTCGCTACTTCAAATCAATTATGACAAATAAGGCTTCGTTCAACCAATTTTGATAACAAATCAATTATGGCAAATAAGGCTTCGTTCAACCAATTTGGAACGATTTCTAAGACGGATTAAGTCTCCGCTTACGCGTTAATAGCGCGAAATATATCGCGCGTTGATTTTCCCAAATTGGCCAAAATGGCAATCTTTAAACCCCCATAACTTTGCGGAAAAAAATCACAAATGAAATATGTTTTCAAATTTAAGCTCAGGACAACAATACCTTTCGAATGATAATAAAAAAATTCCGTCAAAAATGGCTAGTTAAAAAGTCGAAATTTGTCTGAAAAAAGAACCCACTCCGAGCACAAATAAGAAAGCCGGAAGAATAACGGTTTATTACATCTCTGATTTTGTGTGTCGCTCTCCGCTGAACAATTCAACACTGAGAATTGCAATGAAGCGACATTCTGCCACCATTAAGAAAGTTCCTAAAACAAAAATATCATTGTTCTTCGGACTTTTGACGAGAGTGAGGAAAATAAAAGCGTGGAGTGGTTTTTTATTTAAAACGATTTTGATAATTTGACAGCTTATGGGTTTTGCTCTGGAATATCTTGGATTGCCAAGCAATTTTGTTTGCATTAGACAAAAAAGCCAATGGTGTTGCTGGTTCCCCCTTTTAAACTCTAAACAACTTAACGTCCTACAATTTTACTCCCTACTTTTTGTTGCCTTAGCAATAGAACATCGCTACATTTTAAAACAATTTCTATGTCTTAACACCGTTTTAATCCAAAATGAAAAGAAAACTTACTTCAAAGGCGATTTCGGTAACCATCAAAGAATTGAACGATAGAAATTTTTGCCATTTAAGGCCAGACAAATTCGCACTAATTAATTCGCGTAAGTTTTGAACAGAAATGACCTTGCAAATGATTTCAATGAAACGTTTCAAACCAAAATGAAATGGCCTTGCCAATATTTTCAATGAATCATTCCAAAATGAACCAAAAACAAGCATTAGTTCAATGAACTTCAAAAGCCCGCAAATAATTAGACGTCCTTTGACTAATATGGCCTAATTTTCTAGACATTTTCAGCCGGTATAGAAATTTCAAAAAGGTTTAACCAATGCCAAAAGCCTTAAAATCATTTGTTCTAGAATCATTCTCGAACTTAAACTCATGACCTGATCGCTTTGTCAGCTTTTTTTGAAATGTTTAGATGAAACTGTGAACTCGGAAGAAGACTCAATCATAATGTGTTTATTGTGTTTGCGTTTGCTTATCAATTGAGTAAAGTATGAAGTGATTGTCAAAATTCAATTTTTGTCAGAATTTTTCCGTCAAATTGTTATAAAAGAGCACAAGCAGCTTTTTTTTTAAATAATCATAAAGGTTTAGCGAAAAGTTTAATTGAAAAAAATTACAAACTTGTAGATAAGAGTCTTAAGTAAATTAGGAAGCCTCCTTTTAGCATGTATAACTAAGATAAAACAAGTTTTTCATTTTCGTGCGTGTGTTAATTGCAGGACTAACTTTGGTGTGATAAGAGTTAAGATAAGGAATTCATACAGCATTAATTTTAAGGTGTTAAAATGTACTGTGTTAAACTGGAAAATAGGAGTTATTTTGTTGTCGATTCAAATTGTTTAGTAGTGAATTGACTAATTGTTAAAATGTACGGTGTTGAATTGTATGTCATTAAATTGTAGGACACCGGTGTTGCTACCCGAATAGAATATTTCACTATGCGAGCTGTTTGTGCGTGGCAATTTATCCAAATTCATAATAGTTCCAAATTGAACTGAGGCAAGCTAATTGGTCTTATTTATTACCAATTATTAACTCAATCTTTCTCGACGACAAACAAAAAAGTCGAGGCAGTAAACGCAATTGAAACAAGGACAGCCGGTTACTGTGCAATTAGCACAAAATGTTCCGACCGTAGTCATAAACAAATATATTTTTTAAAGAATGCAAGCTAGTGTCCATTGTTTCTGTGTGGCTTGATGAAAAAATCGAAAAAAACTAAATTTAAGCATAGATGACAGCCATATAAAAATGAGAAAATTGTACAACAATCGCTGCAGAAAACTGGCTAAAAAATAAAAAAACTTAAAAACAAAAATTCAGATTTTTTATTTTATGAATACAATTAGTCTGTACTTTACCTGTACTCTGTTTCGACTTTCTGTATTTTCTGGACTATCAATTAACACGAGTGAATTGACAAAAACACATAATGTATGCTTTCATGTTTTTTTTTGTGATGATGCTTCAAATGAAAACAAGCTATCAGATTTGGTAAAACGCGAATTTTCTCAATCGAAAACTTTTTTTTTCAAATTAATTCTTTCAAACTTGTTTTTTTTTGTCTTGACTGGACTATACAAAACTGGACTAAAATTGATGATTCAGAGAATTGTAGGATAGCTCATGTTTCTTGCCGCAGTAACCCTTAGATCTCGAACAATTCAAGGGTTCCTTCTGAAATTTTTTGTTTAGCGATACGCCAATCTTCTCAAATGAATATTGCTGGTTGAACTTTCTGACGGGGGATTTTTTAGCAGATTTTTTTTGCTCAAATTCCAAATAAAATTTATTGGAAATTTCAGAAAAAAAGTTTAAAAAATTAATTTGTGCTCGACCTTTGTTTTGACTGTGCTCGACCTATGGTTCGACTTTCTCGACCAAAACCAAGTATAATTTATCTGTGCTTGACCTATATTTTGACTTTTTCAACCAAAGATTGGTTTATTTTGACTCTTTCGAATGAAATCGGGTATGTTTTGACTTTGTACTTGTATTAGTATTGCTTCTCGACCGCAAAACTTCAGTCGAAAAACTCGATTTACCAACTAGAAATATAAAACGAACCAATCGATCCTTGCCCCAATAAAAAGTTCTTTCCAAAATTGGTTTGGTTGAAAAAAAACACCCCAAGGATATATATTCCTCCCTTTTTTGAAAATTGGAACAAAAACTTTATAATAGGTATAAGGTCTCGAGTGTAAAGGCTTGCTTCTTTTGCACTGTGTTGTGTAATTGATTTGAACATTAAATATCATCAGGCTATTTTGAAATCCGTAAAGCAAAGCTTCGCTTTTTGATCAAAGAACACAGTTTGGTACTTAATTTTAGTCTCGAGTTGCTAGCATTCCTCAGCTCGTTTGCTGTAGAAAAGAAGCTTTGTAATTTCACTTTTTGCTAAATGTTTCCAGTTGTTGGTGAAGTTTAAAGGTTTGTCTAATAAGTGCTCGCTTAAAAGAGTCCTTTTGAGGTTGTTTTTTTTTGCTTCTTTATGAGTTATTAGCTTTTTGAATTTTTCTGAGTTCCAAATATAAATTTATTCGAATACAAAAAAATTCTGTAAAATACTTACCAAATATTCAAATTGAAAGAAAAATCGAGTACGACTGGATTTTTGTTTTCAAAAACGTTCTCCTTATAGCCACCCGTGAAAACGCTATTAGAATTACATGCATTTGATAGTTAGTTATGTGGAAAACACTTTGCACAGAAGAAAAATTTCAAAATCGTTTTTTTTTCACCGAAGCAGCTGATTAAAAAAATAGAACATTTTGTTGTATATGACCAACAAATCTGCTCACATATCAGGGCTAAACCCGGAATGTTCCGATTTTTTTAAATTGTCCCAAATAGGTCAACTTGTTAATTCTTAGGCTGAGAAATTTTTACTACATAATCACAAGGTGACACAGTTTTCAATTTTGAGCGCAGGAGGTCAAGGACTTTTAGATAGTATCTGAAACTTCGTTCAAAAGTGGTAGTTAAAAAGCGAAAGATATTAGAACATGAAAAACGGTTTGTGTGTCAAATATTACTCCAAGTTTTCTGGTATTTTGTGTTAAAAGGATTTGCCCGGACAAAAAGCAATCTGAATCCATATAAAATTCGAACCGTTGTTCAAATAACAAAAATACTAAAGCTAGTCGAAAACGCTAGCCCATGAATATCCCACACATAAATTTCGATACTAAAAATTGATCCTGGAAACTGTATTACAGAGAGAAAAATATTCGAAATTGACGCGCAATTAGGCAGACTTAACTAATGCGAGGAAAACTTAACTATTGCTCGTTTGTTACAACTAGATTTTCCAAATGAAATCATGCAAAATTACCACATATTTTTCAATGAAAAAAATTCTAAGATTTTTTAAAACTGAAGTTAAATTGATATCATACAAGAATCGTCGGCTCTTCGGGGAAGTTGAAACCTGAATGGTCGAAGATCAAGCGAGTGGCAATTGTAGTGGTTCCGGGAGCATTAGTTGGTCTAATTTTGGCATCATTTTATTGTGGGTTTAGAAAAGCAGATGGCATTTATGTGATGCAAAACATTCTGACTGGATTCATTGTTCTAGCAATTGTACTTCTTCTGAACTTCAAGAATTTAGGAGCTGCAATTGTGACTATCGTCATCAAATCAGTTTCTACAGTCATATTTATGAACATTACTTACTATCATGAAAACAGTCTTTTCTACCATAGTTTATTTCTCAAACCCCGAAATACGGCTGAAAAAATACCTTTTTGTGAAAAAGTTATCCAAAATGGAAAAACAGTATTGTTTGATTGTGCAGAATCAGTTTTCCAAGAGAAGTCGCCTTTTATGTTCTTCTTCACTTTCGCCGTGCAAGAGTGTTTGTGTCAGGTTCCCCTTTACTTCTTCAATAGTATGAGGCAAATGTTAGTGGCTATCATGTTTGCCATGTTTTGCTTGATTTACAATGAAGAACATTCGAGCAAACCTTCAGTCTGGTTCACAATATCCATCATTTTTGGTAAGCAGAAATTCTGAAGTTTTATGTTCTTCGCTTGCACGATCAATCCCCTAGAAAAAAAAACAAATTGAAACCCCTTACCAATTACTGAATAATCAACCCAAAAACCTAGATCTGCCCCTGCTTACAGTCATGATATTTTAAATTATACTGCAAAGTTTATATGATTTGTTTTAAATTATCGTCAATTTCAAAAAAAAACAAAGTGGTAACTTTATGTTAAAATAACAAAAAATTAGAGGGCCAACTTTTGGCGGCGAACATGAGCAAAATTCATCTGACAGTCTCTTGTGCTACTTTCATGATTGTCAACGACGATTTCCTGAAAACTTCTTTTAAGTTTTATCTACTTCGAACTCATGAGCAATAGAGCACAGTCCGTTTCACAGTTATTTTTTGTGGTTGTCAAACGCAAGAGACTGTTTATTCGCATTAGTAGCGAAAAAAATCGGCTCGCTTCTAAAAACAAGTTCTAAATTGATATATTTTTGCAGCGTCGACGTTCGGAGTTTCGATAGAGACTATTTTCTTTTACGAAACAAATGGGGGAATTGATTTCTTCAACTTCGCCCTGCTCCTCGCCATGCTCCTCTCGGTGGCAGGAAAAAGACGAGAAGTGAAGAATCTGTTCTGCGGTTGGGAGAGAAGCGAATATTACGATGTGTTACGAACGACGACAGAGGTAAACTCGCACATGCTTTGCGCTCCATTAGAATCGAGAGCCGAAACACTTTTACACGTTCGGTTTCCTCAACACCGATTGCTCAGAGCGAGTAGCATGACATCTATTCTGTACGACTATCTGGATTATGAAGGGACATTCTTGCACTCCCGATCTATGATCAACCATGATCTAAACATCAGGGGGGTTGACTGTTAGAACATAAGAGTAATTGCGATCAGCGAAAAAAAATAAGTCTTTCAGGAAGCTTAAGCAAACTTAAGATAATGAAAACGTTATTCAGTGTTCACTTAATTGGGTCGCGCATTTTATTGTTCATTCAAAAGTAAGTTGAGCTTGTTGTTCACTTTGACTGTTTGAGTTTGAAAATAAAATGCAACAAGACTGCTCGTATCAAGGCGAAGCCCTGAAAATTCTGACTGCCTTTTAAGGTTTGTAGAGCAGTAATAACATAAGCAACATAAAAAAATTAAATGAAATAAAATTAAATTAAATTTTTTTTTCTAAAACTTGAAAATTTTTGTATGTAAATCATCGCCCACACTCCATATAAAGTACAAAATATTAGATTTTGCTCCTTGTAATAAATCAATTATGGCAAATAAATTTCTTTCAACCAATTATCAATTGTCCCAAATTGGCCAAAATGGCAATCTTTGAACCCCCATAACTTTACGAAAAATGATCACAGGTGAAATATCTTTTCAAATTTGAGCTCAGGACAACAATAGCTTTCGAATGATACGAAAAACTTTGTCAAAAATGGCTAGTTAAAAAGTCGAAATTTGTCGGAAGAAAACAAAAACCCACCCCGAGCACAAATATTCCGTAACTTTCATATCGAAAGTCGGAACAATAAACCAAGATCAAGAGACATAATTTTGATCACAAAAACGGTTAATCAGTGGCTATTTTACAGTTCTTAGCGTATTGTCTACTCCTGTTCCAGAAAATTTCAAATCTCCCAAAAAAAAGTTTCGCTCGAAATCTTTCAGGGCTTTTTGAAAAAAGCTTCAAAACTTGTTTGTAGTTTTATTTTACTTAGAGTAGTTAGTTGCTAGAATCAATTTATTGTAGACTTCACAAAGTTCCTCCAACAGGTGAGCCCAAATTTTAACCGAAAAAAAATCTGATTCAGCTTTGCCCAAATTTTACTGACTCACAAAATTGATTTTGAATGCAAGCAATTTTAAGGCACCATTACAAAGAAATCGTTTTGTTTTTACCGCAACAGTTTTTATGGTTCAACCACAGAAGAGGAACAGGATGAGACAAGTGATTCCATAGAGATATGATTCGGGGTCTAAGAAATTAGACGACAAGAAATTAGACGACTGTAAGGAAATGCAATTATCATAGAACCAGGATTTACTCGGCCAAAAGTTTAATTAAGCCTGTGAACAAAAATCACGCAATTTGCACGCAAGTTGTAGGGTTGACAAATTAGACAATAAGCAAATTAGGCGGAGGCACTGAAAAGGAAGTTGCAAAACTGCAATTATGAGAAAACAGACGAAAGTGAGAGAGATTTAAATTCCTTGCAGACAAATTGCGTGAAAAAAAAGTTGTGATCAGATAACAGTTAAGTTTGGTTGGCCAAAAATTTTACGAGTCAATCATGCATAACTTATTCAATTCAAAATTCTCCTGTAAATTTCGGATTTAATATTTTATGTTCATTTAAAGTAACTGTTTCGATAGATAATGTCATTTTATGTTCTTTTTGTATTTGTAAAACTTGACTCTTAAGAAAAAATTTTGTTGGCCCTATCCTTTCATAGCAGTGATGTCTAAATGGACAGATCTGTAGGAAAAATCGTCTAAAGTCGTTTTTGTAGCAACCGTCTACTCTACTTTGCTTATCGTCTAGTTTCCTAGGACTCTCAAGTCACAGTTTAAGTTGGACAAGCAGAGCTTACTCAGCAAAAGATAATTTAAGTCGGTAAGCAAATTTCACAAAATTTGACGCAACCTGTTGTCTAAATTACATTATTTTTTGATCGTCTAATTTGCTTGTTGTCTTAATTCTTTGGCCTCATATGATTCATATCCGAGATGGTTTAAAAGTACCCTTACTTAGCCTATTTAAACTTGGCATTTCGATCTGGTTTTCGCAAACTCAATCAATTGATTCATAAAAGGAGAAAACAAAAATATTCGGAAAACTCGGAAAATAAAAGTATACACTTTTTTCACATTTTTTCAAAAACTTTTTTTACTAATTGCTCAACTTTTATCAGTTCTTTTCCGGTTTTTTGAGTTCAGTAATACTCTTCCAACTGTTCTAGAAAACTTCAAATCTCCCAAAAAAACTTTCGCTCGAAATATTTTAGGGATTTTTGGAAAAAGCTTCAAAACTTATTTGTAATTTTATTTTACTTAGAGTAGTTAGTTACTAGAATCAAACTTTTTGTAAGATTCACAAAGTTCCTCCAATAGTTGAGCCCAAAATTTGGCCAAAAAAATTGGATTCAGATGGGGAAACGGTAGAATAGCCGGGCAATTTGCAGTCCAATGTCACAAATGTTGTCCGAATTTTACTGACTCACAAAATTGATTTTGACTGCAAGCGATTTTAAGGCAATACTACAAAGAAATCGTTTTGTTTTTACAACAACAGTAAGTCGAAATTTTTCGGAAGAAAAAACCCACCCGAGCACAAATATTTCGTTACTTCGTATCGAAAGTAAGTCGCAACAACAAGGCTGCTCGTATCAGGGCGAAGCCCTGAGTGTTCCGCCTGCCTTTTAAGGTTTATGGAGCAGTAGTAACATAAAAAAATTAAATGTAATAAAATGAAATGAAAAATTTTTTTTCTAAAATTTGATTTTTTTTTGTGAAATAATCCCCCCACCCGGCATTTAAAGTACAAAAGAATCGATTTCGATCCTTGTAACAAATCAATTATGACAAATAAGCTTCTTTCAACCAATTTTGAACAATTTCTAAGATGGATTAAATCTCAGCTTACGCACTAATAACGTGAAATATATCGAGCGTTAATTGTCCCAAGTTGGCCAAAATGGAAATCTTTAAACCCCCATAACTTTACGAAAAATGATCACAGGTGAAATATCGTTTCAAATTTAAGCTCGGGACAACAATACCTTTTGAATGATATAGAAAATGGCTAGTTAAAAAGTCGAAATTTGTCGTAAGAAAACAAAAACCCACCCCGAGCACAAATATTCCCTTTCGTATCGAAAGTCGGAACAATAACAAAAACTTAAATGTCGCGAAAAGTGGCGCTCAAAACATTTCGAAAGACCATCAAACTTTTAGGATTCCACTGGGAAAAAAAATAACCTATCCAAGCTTTTTTCCCTGCCCAAGGCGTTAAACGGTTTTTTTCTCTAATCAAAGTCAAGCTATATTCGAAACCTGCAAAAAAATTCGGCTTATTGCACTTTTCTACATCGTTTCTCCGTGAAGAACGGAACAGCTCGTATGTTGGTCCTTTTACTTGTAAATATATCATCTTAAAAACCTGTGATAAAAAAAACGTTCGAGCAACTAAGACAGAAGCTAGCCCACCTGTTGAGAGCAGGAACAAGAAGAAGCAAAGACCTCGCAGTGCGCCAGAATTTTCGACCTTTGACGGCAGGATCAAGTACGATCCTCGGCTGGACAGTGACGTATCAGTGAACACCTTCGACAAGTTTACCTACCTCACATACTTTTGAAAAATAGCTGGTATTAAGTTCATTTCAAGTAAATTCACTCAATACTTTTGTATATATTACAAAGCTCTTCAAAATCAAAGTTCAAAGTTTTTTATCCTTTTCTAAATGTTAATGCTCAATGGAAGTAGAATTAAAACATACTTACAGTTTTTCTGATTGTTATAATCACTAATTCAAACAAGACTGCTCGTATCAGGGCGAAACCCTGAATGTTTCGACTGCCTTTTAAGGTTTTCTGGAGCAGTAATAACATCAAACAATTAAACGTAATAAAATAAAATAAAATTTTTTCTAAAATTTGAAATTTTTGATGAAAATTATCCCCCCAAACGCCATATAAAATACAAAAGGATAGATTTTGCTCCTTGTAACAAATCAGTTATTGCAAATAAGTTTCTTTCAACCAATTTTCAATTGTCCCAAATTGGCCAAAATGGCAATCTTTAAACCTCCATAAGTTTACGAAAAATGATCACAGGAGAAATATCTTTTCAAATTTGAGCTCAGGACAATAATAGCTTTTGAATGATAAAAAAAAATTCTGTCAAAAATGGCTAGTTAAAAAGTCAAAATTTGTGGGAAGAAAAAAAGAACACACCCCGAGCTCAAATATTCCGTTACTTTCGTATCAAAAGTATGAACAATATACCAATTTTGATTACAAAAACGGCTAATCAGTGGCTATTTTACAGTTCTTAGCGTATTGTCTCCTGTTCCAGAAAATTTCAAATCTCCCAAAAAATACTTTCGCTCGAAATCTTTCAGGGCTTTTTGAAAAAAGCTTCAAAACTTGTTTGTAAGTTTATTTTACTTAGAGTAGTTAGTTGCTAGAATCAATTTAATGTAAACTTCACAAAATTCTTCCAACAGGTGAGCCCAAAATTTAACCGAAAAAAATCAGATTCAGATGGGGAAAACAGTAGAATAGCCGGGCAATTCGCAGTCCAATGTCACAAAATTTGCCCGAAAATTACTGACTCACAAAATTGATTTTGACTGCAATCGACTTTAAGACAAAACTACAAAAAAATCATTTTGTTTTTACCGCAACAGTTTTCATGGTTTAACCACAGAAGAGGAACAGGATGAGACAAACGATTCCAAAAAGATATGGTTCGGGGTCTAAGAAATTAGACGACAAAAAATTAGACGACTGTATAGAAATGCAATTATCGTAGAACCAGGATTTACTCGGCCAAAATTTTATTTAAGCCTGTAAGCAAAAATCACGCAATTTGCACACAAGTTGTAGGGAATGACAAATTAGATAATAAGTAAATTAGACGGAGGCACTTAAAAGGAAGTTAGACGATTTTTCAAAACTTCAATTATGAGAAAACTGACAAAAGTGAGAGAGATTTAAATTGTTTGCAGACAAATCGCATGAGAAAAATAAAATTGCTTGCAGACAACAGTTGAATTTCGGTGGCCAAAAAACTCACAAGTCAACCTTGCATAACTTATTCAAATCAAAATTCTCCTGTAATATTCGGTTTTGATTTTTTATGATCAATTAAACTAAATGTTTTGATAGATATGGTCATTTTATGTTCATTTTGCATTTGTAAAACTTGACTCTTAAGAAAAAATGTTTTTCGCCTTATTCTTTTATAGCAGTGATGTCTAAATCGACAGATCTGTAAAACATTTTCGTCTAATTTTGTTTTTGTAGCAACCGTCTATTCTACTTTGCTTATCGTCTAGTTTCCTAGACCTCGGAAGTCACAATCTAAATTGGACAACCAGTATTTACTCAGCAAATG